CCAGAGCTGTGAAGGTGAGTGTCTTTCTCTCTGTCACCGTGGAGGGGGGGGGTGTTGGGTGTTAGTGGAAGGCTTTCTCTGGTGGGGGGGGTGTGTTGTTGGTCACTGGAAGGGGGGGGGGGAGAGTTGGTGTTGGTTGGTCTCAGGCTCTCTCTGCGGGGGTGGGGGAATTTGATGTTTTTGGTGTTGGCTGGTGTCAGGCTCTCTCCACTGGGAAGGGAGAGCATCCAATTTTTGTGTTGCCTAGGGCAACACAAAACCTAAATACACCAGTGATTGTATTGCCAGAACATTATGCTCTATAAACTCTCTACATTCGACTTACATTGCGATAAAAACTTTAAAATGCAGTCAATAAACTTCACTATTAAGAATTAAGCACAGCTACATAACAAATAAATGTGGCTGCCCCATGTTCATAGATTGTTTGGTATTATAACTAGAAGACAACAGTTTTGAAAGAGAAAGAAAAGTAACAATCACAATAAAATTCCTCAGTAAACCTATATATTTTTTTGGACTTTATTACTGAGCATGTAACTGAATAATATGAGCTCTAAAGGTTCGTGGATGCCAGACTTAGACATTTGTAATGCATTAGATTATTTTTTGTTGCAATTGATTATGTTTGTGATAATGGTGTGTGTTCTCTGATGGAGTCATCTACATTTATCAAAGCATGGCCAAAATAAGCTGTGTCAGACTGACTATGTGCAATGGCCAGCAACCTTTTCTTTTAGCTTAATCAATTAGAGAAAACAAGTGATTACTATATGGCAGCACACCATAGCCACTAGTTACCTTTCAGTTTACTGTAGACAGCTTGGTAAGTGGTGAAATGAGTCTGATTGTTTTAGGTAACTGTTTAGGTGCACTTATATATAGTCATTGTTGTCTTAGATATGAAGTACACTATACACACACACACACACACACACATATAAAATAAGAAGGGTTTATAGCACTCTTTAGGTCCTAAATAGCTTCCATATACTGTTTATAGCATGAGATACCAAACAGGTATATACAGTATATTGCAATACATGTTCCAGCTGGCCAACTGCATCAAAGTGACTTCTCTCTGGCCAGTCCCTACTCTATCTTGCAGACTGCAAACCTCTTATTTGCTAATTTAGCATATTATTAACACCATGGACATATAGGGGTGGATTTACTAAAACTAGAAAGTGCAAAATCTGCTGCAGCTCTGCACAGAAACCCTTTAGACTCCATTTTTCTTTCAGAGATTAATTGAACAAGGTGAAGTTAAAAGCTGATTGGCCACCATTCACAGCTGCACCAGATTTTGCACTCTCCAGTTTTAGTAAATCAAGCCCATAGTGTGTGATAATCAGGAAAAAATGACTCAAGAATGTCACAAAATACAAAAACTATATTGTTAACCACTTGCCGACCGCAGATAGCTGAATGACAGCTACACTGCGGCTGGCCAGTTCTGGGAAGACGTCATATGACATCTTCCCAGAACGCGCCCTCCCCGTATGCCCCCGGGGGTGCGCACCCCGGTGATCTCATGTGATGTGGTAAAAGGCCAATAACAGCGGCCTTTTACTACATGATCAGCTGTGTCCAATGACACAGCATATCACCGGTAAATGCAGTTGCCGGTTATCGGTTGCACTTTCCTCACGCTGTCACTACGTGAGGAAAGTAGTGCTGATAACTTGCAATTGTCAGAGGAGGGATTGGCACAGATCATCAGGGCACAGATGATCAGTGCCCTGATGATCAGTGCCACCCACCAGTACCACCCATCTGTGCCCAGCAGTGCTGCCCACAAGTGTCCAGTGGTGCCACCCACCTGTGCCCAGCAGTGCTCAGCAGTGCCACCCACCTGTGCCCAGCAGTGCCACCCAGCATTGCCCAGCAGTGCCACCCAGCAGTGCCACCCATCAGTTCAGCCCATTAGTGCTGCCCAGCAGTGCCACCCATCAGTGCCCAGCAGTGCTGCCAGTCAGTGCCCAGCAGTGGCACCGGTCAGTACCATCGGTCAGTGCCACCCATCAGTGCCACCTATCAGTGCCCACATCATTGTTGCATATCAGTGTCAGCTCATCAGTGTTGCCTATCAGTGCCACCTATCAGTGCTGCCTATCAGTGCCCATAAGTGCCACCTATCAGTGCCCATCAGTGCTGCCTATCAGTGTCAGCTCATCAGTGCCACCTATCAGTACCATCTCTTCAGTGCCGCCTATCAGTGCCCATCAGTGCTGCATATCAGTGCATGTCAGTGCTACCTATCAGTGCCCGTCAGTGCTGCCTATCAGTGCAGCCTCATCAACGCACATCAGTGAAGGAGAAAAATTACCTGTTTGCAAAATTTTCTAATAGAAACAAAGAAAGACTTTTTTTTTTTCAAAATGTTTGCAATTTTTTTGTTTATAACGCAAAAAATAAAACACCCAGCGGTGAGTAAATACCACCAGAAGAAAGCTCTATTTGTGTGAAAAAAATGATAAACATTTCATATGGGTAGTGTTGCATGTTCGCGCAGTTGTCATTCAAAGTGCGACAGCACTGAAAGCTGAAAATTGGCCTGGGCAGGAAGGGGGTACAAGTGCCCGGTAGGGTAAGTGGTTAAAGAGATCCCCAGTTGTGGGCTTTTATTTTGGATCCTGGCAAAACAGCCCTTGGTTCTGTGGATGACTACTATAATTTGCAGGACTGCTTTATGGGCATCATGAAAGAAAAGCCCTATATTAAGTATTTTTCTCCTAAGGCTCTCTGGTCTCATAATGGATCATATCCTGCATGTAGCTCTGGCAGCTCTCTGGTCTCATAATGGATAATATCCTGGATGGAGCTGAATAAAGATGAATTATAGTGGACAGAGGACCATTTAGACTAGGGATATATTAATTAACTTGGTCTTACTGAGGCAGGTCAAGCAGGTACATATGTTTTTTATTTTAGTAAAATCCACTCTTTTTTTTATTTATTCTCTTAACATATTTGCAGCCTCTGACCCTGGCATTAAGACCTTAACTAAATGTGGTCTTTGCTGTCCATAAGGTCTCTGATTGGATTCCTTGTTATATGTCTTCGGAATGCGCTCCTACCTGTATATGGGACTGAATGTAGAGCCCTTTTAAAACAAGAAAACTTAAATAAACGTAACCCACACAATTAAATTATTGGTTTGAAATGGCCATGGTCCTTTATTATTGGTGTAAAAAAAGTAAGTAAGTTACAAACAATATCTTAACTATTACATAAAATGAAATACATCATATCATATCATGACATATAATCATTTTAACCACTTAAGAGCCGCCCCATAGCAGATATATTGCTACAAGGCGGCTCCATTGTGCAAAATCACGTATATATATGTGTGATTTTGTATTTCTGGGTAGGAAGTGCGCACCGCCCTACCCGTGCCACTAATGGCTGCTGGATATGTCAATCACCACTTCCCAGCCAGCGATTCCTGGCCAGGACTCAGTAGTCATTGGCAGGGCTGAAAGGGGAGAGATCTGTGTGTAAACAACACAGATCTCTCTCCTGTCAGTATGGACATGCTGCTTTGTATCTCTCTGCACAGCAGAGAGATACAAAGCAGCATGCCTCCTAAGTAAAACAGCACACATAGTAAAACACAAACAGCACAGCTGTTAACCCTTTAATCGTCCCAGATGTTAACCCCTTCCTGCCCAGTGTTATTAATAGTGTCAGTGCTTTTTATTAGCACTGATTATTGTATTAGTGTCAATGGAGATGTCAGGGGTCGTTAGTCAGTTCCCACCCAGTGTCTGAATGCCGAATAAAGGCATTAATACCACATGACAAGCGGGGCCACGACAAAAAGGGGTGGAAGGGTGGGAAGGTCTGTTCTTCTTGAAGTCCAGCACCCATTGACTGATTTAAAAACTTGACATGCTTCTTACTAAATACTTTGGACTGTCTACTTTATGAAAAGGGGTCATTTGGGGGCAGGGGTGTACAGACAATTCATGGGGCCCCGGGCAATAGGGGATCATGGGGCCCCTATATCCTTGCCCACACTCAAAAAAAGCCTATAAAAAGGTACTGTCCTGGCACTTTAGGGCCTCAAGAAATGAGACAGGCCCTCAGTACATCAGGACTGATCATTTTTCATATATATATATATACCATTGTTTGTAGACTCCATAACTTTCACACAGACTAAATAATGTACACTGATTTGGGTTACTTTTACCAAAAAAATGTAGCAGAATACAATTTGGCCTACATTTATGCAGATTATCTGTTTGCAAAATTTTATAACAGTAAAATATCAGTATTTTTTCTTTATATAGCAAAAAATAAAAAACCTAGTGGTGATTAAATACCACCAAAACACAGCTCTATTTGTGTGAAAACATTTTTATAAATTTCATCTGGGTACAGTGTACCATGACCGAGCAATTGCCAGTTAAAGTAGCACAGTGCTGGATAGCAGAAAATGCCCTGGACATGAAGGAGGTAAAACCTTCCGGAGGTCAAATGGTTAATCTATAAAGTATAGTATATTGACAAACAATTACTCTAGTGATTGTAACCCACAGTCACATTGACATTTTGAAATGTATGGTACTACCAAATATATATATATATATATATATATATATATATATACTGTATATATATAAACACACACTATATTGCCAAAAGTATTGGGATGCCTGCCTTTACACGCACAAGAACTTTAAAGGCATCCCAGTATTAGTCCATAGGGTTCAATATTGAGTTGGCTCACCCTTTACAGCTATAACAGCTTCAACTCTTCTGGAAAGGCTGTCCACATGGTTTAGGAGTGTGTCTATGGGAATGTTTGACCATTCTTCTAGAAGTGCATTTGTGAGGTCAGGCACTGATGTCGGGATGAGAAGGCCTGGCTCACAGTCTTCGCTCGAATCCACCCCAAAGGTGTTCTATCGGGTTGAGGTCAAGACTCTGTGCAGGCCAATCAAGTTCCTCCATCCCAAACTCCATGTCTTTATGGACCTTGTTTTGTGACTGCCAAATCCAGACACGTCCATCAGATTGCCAGAGAAGAATGATTGGTCACTCCAGAGAACACGTCTTCACTGCTCTAGAGTTCACTAGCAGCGTGTTTTACACCACTGAATCTGATGCTTTGCATTGCACTTGGTGATGTAAGGCTTGGATGCACCTGCTCGGCCATGGAAACCCATTCCATGAAGCTCTCTGAGCACTGTTGTTGTGCTAATCTGAAGGCCCCATGAAGTTTAGAGGTCTTTAGCTATTGACTCTGCAGACAGTTGGCAACTTCTGCGCACCGTGCGCTTCAGCATGCGCTGACCCAGCTCTGTCATTTTACGTGGCCTACCTGTCATGGTCCTATCCACGGCAGAAGTTCCGGAAGATCTGGCATTTCTGCCAGTACTCTGCATGGCACAGAAGCACACATCAGCCTCAGTTTGGTGCCAGACGGCCTTTATAAGAAGGCTCATCACTTCCTTTAAGTTGCTGGATGATCTCTAGCTCCCAGTACCTTGTTCCTGTTTCCTGTGATTGTGACCTGCGATTTCCTGATACCGACTCGACTTGCTCCTGGACCTGTCTACTCTACTTTACCCCTGATCTGACCTTGGCTTGGCTTATGGATACTCTCTCTCTCGCTCCTCTATGTATGACCTCGGCTATCCCATCTGACTACGTCTGCTCTGATTCCCACCTGGTACCCGACCTTGGCTTGAACTGACTACCCAGTAAACTTCTAAATCCCTGAAGGGCTTGCATACCATGCACAGGCGCCTCCTGTCTGCAGACCTATCACCGTGCACCAGCTGTGTTTCTGTGTGCACCACCAACCAGCGCTCCTACAGGCGACCTGTGCAACTTTGGGCCTGACTCCCGCTGTACCACTCTCAGGGGAGTCTGGAACTTAGCTGCAAGGGAAGCCCTCTCTCCACTGTCCTCCATCACCAGGTACGTGATACTACCACTTAGCGGCTGAGTTGCTCTTGTTCCCAGTTGCTTCCAATTTGTTACATTACCACTAACAGTGGACCGTGGAATATTTAGCAGCAAGGAAATTTCATGGGTGGACTTATTACACAAATGGAAACCTATCATGCTACCACGCTTGAATTCGCTGAGCTCATTTTACAAATGTTTGTAGAAGCAGTCTGCAAGCCTAGGTGCTTGATTTTATACACCTGTGACCAGTGGTGTATTTAGGATTTGTACTGCTCTAGGCAACACAAAAATTGCACCCCCCCTCACAGAGATAGCCTGACATTGACCAACAACACCCCTGCCCCCCTCCCCAAGAGAGCCTTCCACTACCACTGCCCCCCCATACACTAGCCACCATCCGCCATGGTGAGACAGAGAAAGACACTTGCCTTCAGAGCTCCAGATACCCCTGGGAACAAGAATGGGGTAGTGCATACACCATTGTGAAACCTGCAGTCTCTCTCGGAAACCACCAAGTTCCCATGCCGCGTGTGTCCCTTCTTCTGTCCCTTTTTCCATGGGGAAGTACTGCCCCCTCCCTGAAAAATGCCGCCCTAGGCAAAAGCCTTATTTGCCTTGTGGTAAATACACCCCTCCAGAAGGTCCAACCTTCTAGAACCTTTGTGATATCGCCTTCCTTCCAGCTGCGTGAGAACCAGAGGAGCAAGTAACGGGGCTGCTCCCCATCTGGACCTTGGAATATTTTCATTGGAGCATTTGGAAGATCTCATTTGGATGCTGGTATATGGATACAGAGGGTAATAGTATCTAATACTATTGGTGCTGGTGGAACACAGTGTTGCAGTTTTCACTGAGTGATCACAGTTTATTCACATGTGCACGGAAGAGATACACATATATAGTGTTTGCACATTTCTGTGTTTTTGTGTTTGCACGGAGAGAATATATTATGTATTAAGGTAATGCACTAGATTTTTTGAATTTGTTTTTTTTTTGAGGTATTACGGGACGGAAGGGAATTTCTTCTGACTGGATGAATTAAATTTGGATATTTGGACAATTTTTCGACACCATTTCTATTGGACACTATTTTTGGTTATATTGGGACATTTTGGGACACTTTGCATTGGACTTTTTTATTTATATTTTTTTTATTTATATATTTTTTATTTTGAATTTTATTATTATATTTAAGTGTTTGGATTTTATTTTATATTCATTTATTTGAATTTGTTTATATATTTTTCAAAAAGGTTTATAATACTGTGTTGCTTTCTGGGGAGAAAGCGTGACTTTTTGAGGGTTTTTGGGGTTAGGTGATATACACATATTTAAAATACACCCCTGCCTGTGACCATGGAGGTGATTGGAACACCTGAATCCAGTGATGTGGAGCGGTGTCCCAATACTTTTGGCAATATAGAGTAAATCTTCTAGGTATTTAAATGGCAGTGATTGATTCACCGCCAGTGAATGTTTGGTAAAAGTCACATACAGGTGCAAACAAGGATGTTGTATAGGCACCTGGCGTCCTCCTTATCGACGTCATTGGTTGTTGGGATACCAATGGCTAGAAGGTTGCACAATTAAAACGTGCACAATGGTGCACAATGAAAACCTGTGGCTTTGTGTAATAAAATGCAGGTTAATCCACCCGCTGCTTGTATACTTTATTTTTTTTTTTTTTTTTTAAGAAACCTGAAGGCTCCCTGGTTGAAAAAGGCTGGTCTAACACAATAAAATAGGTTTATAGATTTTTAAAATGGGGTTATCTGGGGCATAACTAAATGTATTAAACAATATATAGAGCAGTTTTCAGGACTCTGATGTGACTAACAGAAGCAGTACTTGTAAGAAGTAAAAAGTTACATTTATCTATATTGTAACACCTTAGTGCTACAATCAACCAGCATTATAAAATACACAATTCCACTTCATGGACAGAATCTCAGTTTAGGGTAAACTGTTTATCTAAAATGACATTTATAGAATTATCTAACACATTTGCCACTAGGTTTGAGGTGGAAAGATACATATCTTAAGTTATAGATTCTTCCCTGAAGAAAGTAGATAAAATAAATAAGAATTCAACTCTGCCATATATTAGGAAGACACTGGAGGCATAAAAATAAAGCAACCACTAAACCAATGTTTTAGTTAAAAAAGTTGTTTTTTTTTTTCTATTATTCATTAATTCAAAATGTGTAATGATTCTAGTAGACACTACAAAGTAGCCAAACATTCCATCTATCAGTTGTGTTTTTATTTTAAATAATTAAAATATGGGTCTATTCTGGATGTTATATTTTTAATCCACAGTAGAGTGTCTATCACTTTTCATCCATTCTACAATCTTGTCACAACTTAAACTTAAATAAAAAAGGATCAACATGGAGTTAATGGGAATTCAAATTTAACACATCAATAGTGTTCCTATTTTTTTATCTGCTAGCAAGGGGAGCTACAAATGGAATCTGGTCCCAGTAAAGCCCAAAGCATGCTATGAAAAAAAAAGTAGGAAGGGAATTTTTAAGAAGCATTAATTAACACTCATATAGCGATCAACAAACATGTGTTTAAAATATGAAGATATGATTTGAAGGCCTAGTATGGTATTTCCCTTTTTTTTCAGATCTGCACATAATCCTATATTCTCATATCACCTGAGTGTCCATATTTATGGTGATGAGTGGGTATGTGGAGCATATTCAGACCTTCAACACTTGCCAAACATACTCAGCAAAGCTTGTAGGTAGGTGCAGTCTGTGCGTCCTGCTGTAGGTAGTGCTGTGCTATAGCTGTAATACAGTAGAAGGAGAAAGTTTTGAGGGACCTAGTTCCTCTATGATTCCCTTTTGTCTCCTGGTAGCATATGATTGAACATTGTGCCCCGTGTGACCCCTGGGACCATCTTAGGCAGGGTAGAGCTTATTTAAGTTTCTGACCCCCTGATTTGGCATGCATTTCATAAGTGGATAGTGTAGGGACAGAGTTTCCAGTCTGTTAGAGACAGCACTGAGTAGTAGGGAAAGGTTCCGAAGGAGTAGGGAAAGTACAACGGACTACGCTATCTCCATTGAGGAAGCCTCCCTATTGGGTAGAACCGGCCAGGTTGCATTCCCCTGTCTTACTGCAAAAGCTGTCGGCATTGGTGAAGCTGCTGTATTGCTGCTGTGTATTCCGTAAATGGCTCCAGCAGTTTTGTGCACCTGCAGGCTCGTTTGTACCTGGAACTTTTACAATATACTGTTCATATTACTTGGCCTCTGCGTGATCTCTGCTGCCGACACACCACAAAAAATAAAAGAGAGTGAAGCTCTTCAACCGGGACACAGGCAGGAATGAACTCCTTGGATACAAAGAAAAACAAACAGAGGGCGCACTGGCCTAGTACATTATTGTAAAAAATATATTGGAAGGATAAAAAGTAAGTATCGTTCTCACAATAGGCAAACAGGTCAAAGGCACATCACACTAAACAGCGGTGTCCAATCCACATTGCATATAAGTCCAAAAAAATGAAACCCTGGACTTCCAACAGGCTAACGCGTTTTGAGGTCTCAACCTCTTTCTCAGAGCCACGGTGTGGTTGAGACCTCGAAACACGTTAACCTGTTGGAAGTCCAGGGTTCCATTTTTTTGAACTTATATGCAATGTGGATTGGACACCGCTGTTTAGTGTGATGTGCCTTTGACCTGTTTGCCTATTGTGAGTACGATACTTACTTTTTATCCTTCCAATACATTTTTTACGATAATGCACTATGCCGATGTGCCCTCTATTTCTTTTTCTTTGCATTCAAGGAGTTCATTCCTGCCTGTGTCTCCGTTGAAGAGCTTCACTCTCTTTTGTTTTTTGTTTCACTCAGAGTTGTTCTTGTGACAATGGACAGCTTGTTAACCTCTCATTTTTTAACCTATAAATGGACAGTGAAGCAGCAGCAGACTAAAGCAGGCCATACACTGTTAGTCTTTTTCCTTCAGTCACAATAGTGACTGGGACAATTTATTCTGACAATTGTACTTGCTGCTGTCAGAATACACAGATCAGAGTTTGCAGCCAATTGTCTCTTTCCAACAAGTCCCTTCCACAAACTGATTGAAATTCTAGTCCTTACGGAAGCAGCTAAATTCCTGGTTAGAGTATGACCAGCTTAGGAAGGTCCTCCCTCACCTCTGTCTCCACACACATATATATATATATATATATATATATATATATATATATATATATATATATATCATGAATACATACCTACGTTTTACTTTTTTCATATATTTTTTATACTTATGAAGATGCTTTAAATGATAAATTAAAATGTGTGGGCTTCAGCACTAGCATTCTGTAGTGTAAGATGAAACACGAGGAAGGGCAAAGCTACCAGTGTCACTCTTGCAATGCTGAAAGCTACATTTCATACTGTTATGTTGAACCAAGATTGTATAATTAAAAAAATGTATTATATAGCTTTTTACATAAGCAATGGTGCTATCCTAATGATCTGCAAAGAGCTATTAGTGGAGACATCTGTATGGAGTTCACATTATAATGAAATTGATTTGTAGCTATTAATACGTCTATCTTTTAAGAAAAAAAAATGCATGATTTCAAATAAAGGGAAATCTTATTGGAAAGTGGCCAAGGAACAATGTCACATCTAGCTTATCCCAGTCATCCTTAATTTCTTTAGACTTCTAATTAGATTAATTATAGATTAATGGAGATTACCAATATGAACACATGCAGGATTCTAATTAAAAAATCTATAACTCATTAGCAAATTATTGCTGTACCTACATGAATCTTCTGTTTAATTTGCTGTCTCCGGATAAGCTGCATTTGCAACAGCACTGGCAAGACCAATGTTTATTGATCATTTTAATAATATGTTGTAAACACTAACTCACAGGTATAGTGGGCAGCGTTCAATAATTCAATGAAAATAATCTCCCAAAGAGTGTATTATGCCATATCTGGGACTAAATGGAAACAGAAGGCAAGAAGAAAATGGTGTCTATCTATCTATCTATCTATCTATCTATCTATCAGGGGCGTGCTGACAACTCATGGGGCCCCCCGTGCAATAGGGGATCATGGGGCCCCTGTGTCGTTGCCCAAACTCAAAAAAGCCTATTAAAAAGGTACCAGGGGCATTTCATGGGGCCCCCTACTGACCCTGGGCCCTCGGGCAGTGCCCGAGTTTCCAAATGGTC